CTACAACCCATGTCTAAGCAAAAGCTTGTCGAGGAGCGAGGGGAAGAAGGGAGAACTCAATGGTATATGACAAATAGATTTTTTTTTGTCATAGACTATACCATTGCTCAAGGAAGGGCAGTTACAACGGGGTTTTGAGCCATATTGCCGGATATCTCTGATATCCCGGGGATGACATTCCAGCATCCCCGGTTAGCCCATGACATTTTTTTTTGGGGGGGGGGGGCTTCGTACGTCATGCAATGACCGACCGTGGACGGCGATAGAGCGATTTCGATCACCAAAATAGCCCTCTGTGCGCTTCAATAGTCCAAACCGGAACTCTATTGCCGGATGTCCAAATCGGTACTATATCCCCGAACAGACTGGTAGGAACTATGATGGGCGTGACAGCCTTCTACTTTGGGATGGAGCGTGATAGCTCGGGTATGATATCTCTGGATGTGGCGTGGAAGCCTGGTGACGTGATAGTAGTCGTGGTGTTTATGTATAGGTAAGGACGTGAATGTCCGGAAGGCGTGATAGCCGGGTGGCGTGATAGCCAGGATTATTGGCGTGGAAGTCGTGGGGTGATAGCCGTGGTAGCGTGATAGCCGGGGAAAAAGGACTTGATTGCACACAGGAAGGAGGAAAAAGAGGAAATAAAACAAGTGAGAAACCACAACGGACAATCACCATATCCGTTGTAGACACACACTCAACGGTTGGGAGATGTGCCAGAACTCGAAGAGGTGGGACGGGCAACGAAAGGCCTCAAGAACTGGAAGGCACCCGGCCATGACTCCCTCCCTGCCGAGTTGCTCAAGATCGATGACGACGAACCCTTCGTCCTGGGACACCTCCATACCATCCTCGTCAAGGTGTGGAACGGAGGAGATATTCCGCGAGAGTGGAAGGATGCAACCATCAAGGTGCTGTACAAGAAGGGTGACAGGTCCAACTGTAACAACTACAGGGGGATTTCGCTACTATCTCACATAGGCAAGGTCCCCATCAAGATCATCACCAACCGTCTAAGCGCCTTCTGCGAAGCCAACAACATCCTCCCGGAGGAACAGTGCGGATTTCGACCCGGGCGATCCACCGTCGACATGCTGTTCGTCGTGCACCGCCTCCAGGAGCTGGGGCGGAGAAAGAAAATACCGCTCTACATGTGCTTCGTCGACTTGAACAAGGCGTATGATTCGGTGGACCGAGAGATGCTATGGAAGGTGCTGGCAAGGGCCGGGATTCCCGCGAAGCTGACCGA